ACTCTCTATAAAAAAATACATCTTATTTTCCTGAGTACATTTTGTATAACCCTGATTGTGATCACAGTCACTGGAGCCTGATGCGTATTATGCAACTATAATGTGAACATGACTCTAACAAAACAAATTAGTATGTCTAGAAAATAGACTTCTCAATTCTGTGCGCTTATTCCACAATGTAAGTCTTACTGACCAGAAAAGAAAAGCATTTCCTGAGTTCCTGAGCAATAAGGAATCCATTTTGAAGAAAACAAGGAATGAGTTGGGATTTTGTACTGCTCAGACTCATGAAGTATTCTGTGGAACCAGAAAGCTGGCAAAATCATTTGTGACATTTTGAGTTCTCCAATGATAAATACCCTCCCTCCTCATGGACTAGGGCAACTCTATTTTTTAAAAATCAGTCTTAAACTAGTTCAAATCTGTACAGTAGATGTGCCAATATGATACCTAAATAATAGCACAGAAACAAAACTCTATATATTTGATGCCTTTTCACTATGACTTCAATGGCTTTTAAAAAACACACAGGTGTTTAGAACAAATTAGATTACAGCCTTTTATTTTAATTTTAGTTTTTACAATATTCCAGCTGAGTGGTCAGTTTGGAAGCCTGTTTACCCAGCCCATGGAATTTGATGAAACCTAGGCCTTCCTGAAGGACTGCAGCCTTAGCATTAATATAACAAGAAGTTATCACGTAAGCATCTCTACAGATCTACTTTGTTAGTGTCTCTCCAGTAATCTTTCATAACCTGTGTCAGGTAACTGCAGTTAGGGAAAAAAAACCTGGACTTTTTGCATGTTGTACATTCATTATGGTCATTATTATGCCAGAGAAAAACGCGCTTAATAGAAAATTGAACTTTATTTCAGCTTGGAAACAACTTGCCAGATCATCAAATAATGGACAGAGCCTCATTCCAGAAGCTGTTTACTTAATAAATTAAATCTCGAGATTTGGAAACTCCTGCTTTCTCCTGTATTGCTCATGGTTTATTCAGCAGTGCTCAACTTTAGCAAGCATAGTAATCAGGAATTAATATAACACAGAAGGCTAAGTAAGAGTCCAAAGGGGTTGTTTAGATGAAGTGATGGCTATGCATCCTACTTTGCAGACTTCTTCATCCTCAGTTTGCAGACATGAAAGAAGAGTGTTACTTCTAGGTTTCCCCAGCAAACAGCCACAAACAACAATGCACACCCAGAACTCTCCCTTTGCACCAGCCAGGCTCCCTGCTGCCCCTCTTGATTTCTAATATACATAAACTTTACAGACTGACATTCTGCAAAGAAAATCACTGCCTTCCAGAGCTATCTTGATTTCCCAGAATCCCTCATGAGGCCAAAAGTCACTCCTAGAAAATAAAAATAAGCCACAGCTATAGTGAAGGGTTTTATTTTGAAACGATTAAAATGCCCAACTCAAAGTATGCTTTGAGCTGGGCATTATTGACACTGCCTGTGATATCATAAAAGCCCTGCCTCTGACATGCTAGGGTGGCAGCAGTGTCTTCTGGGGTAGAAGGTGTTGATGGGAATTGGGAGCAATGTTCTGCCTATATTATGCATGCATGTTTCACATAGAGGATGGAGGTGGTGGCTGCCGTGGCTGTAACCGAAGCTGCTGGTGTTGGTGGTGATGTTGTGGCATTTACTCACTGGTTGATTTGATTTGGCATGTGTGCTTTGCCTCTGTCTGTGTTTCGCATGGTGTGGGTTGCATGTGGTGTGTATGTTTTGTCCATGGAAAGTCCATGGAAAGTGGGGGTGGGTACTTCTTTGGTAAATATCACCAGTTGGCTTTCTACAAAATTGGGCATCTTTTCAAGTTCTGTGAAGGCAAGGATGGGATTTTGGAATTTGCCAAGCAAACAGTTCATCCTGCTGTGAGGCTAGGTGTAGGCTTTATAATGCCATGAGATAGATCCTTGTGTGAGAAGGGAAAATAGGGTGTGTCTGTGCATGCACACACATGTGCATATGTGCCTGTGCTTGGTCACACCCATGAGTTGTAACAAGTGTGTTCCACTCACTGCTTGCTTCCAATGGCACAAACGCATGGGCCCACACACTACTTCTCTCTCCAAGTCTCCTCTGTCCATTCCTGGCCTTCTTACACTAAGGTTCGCAAGCTGAAGTCACAGCACATTGCAATGCTTTCTTAGATTTCCAAGTGGTAAAGACCAATTTCCAGGTGAGTGTCTCTGGAGAGGGAGAAACTTTTGTGGGTAAAGTGACTTTAAAGCCAAGTAGGCATCCATATTCCCAGTCAGCACCAGGGCCCAGAGGACTGGAGAGAGGGCCAGTGGGTTCATGCTCTTGAACCATTGAGCCATTTGGAGCCCAGAAGAGAGTGCAGGATTTAGCCCTGAAGTCTCAAGGTATATGAAATCGCTGATCTGGCAACACTAGCTGCAGCCTTGAGGCCCAGCAACCCTACCTATTACGACAGCTGGCAACTTGACAAATGTCTCTCTCTTGAACTGCCTATACAAATGTACAGTATACTGTTTTGTTCTTTCCTACGTGTGTTGTGCTAAATCACAAAACAGCAACAAATTGTAAGGAGTGTGCTTTTTAGAAACCAGTCTACAAAGAAATAAATGAGTCTTCAAGATGTTAATTTCTATTTCCCGTTTCATTGTTGCTGCCAAAAGACTGTCATTCTGTTACAGTAGCTAAATATACTCCTATTTTTATATGCTAGAATTTCTCCCTCCCATGAATTTGTTTTCAGATAGCAGTGGGTCTGTTTTCAATTTTACCCCCTTCCTTTTCTCACACTTTTTTTTCCTGAGAAAGAAATTGAGGGCTTCCCCCTCCCAAGATATATTGGATATCTAAAAACTGAGAATTTGCTGGACGAAGCAGAGACTGCCTCCTGTGATAAGAGGAGTTATTGTTGTGAAGAATTCCTTTAAGATTCAATCTTAATCATTTTGCTATTGAAATGGAAGAATAAAGTAATAAGAGGTTTGAATAGACTTGATTAAAAAGAATAATTATTTTGCTTGGGTGAGTTAACTATATAAACTTGTGACGAGTTTGCATTCTTATAGTATTTGCCTATTAGAACAGTTGCAGTCTTCAACAATTACAAGCCTAACTGTTAACAAAGAAGAAGACCCCTTTGTCTCTCAAAATCCCTTCTTTCCATCTTATTCATCAAGGCTGATGGTAAGTTCATGCTACTGTTAAGTGCTAGGTACAATCTGGAACCTAAAATCTCATACTTTGAGGTTGCAACCTGGCCTCATGAAATATGGTAGCCAATGTAACAGAGTCTACCAAAGATTTTTGCAGTCCCACCCTGTGTGAAGCCTTTTGGACTAAGACCTAAACCCTGGAAAAGTTTTTTTTTTCCCCTGTAATACTGCTCTCAAAATCTCCCAGCCAGTCCCATCTCTGTCCTTTTTGGCTAAGGGTTCTGAGAGTAGTACTTCAGAATGTAACCTCTCTACGGTCTGCTTTTTTCCTCACTGGGAGGTGCAAAACTAAGGATGAAATCCTTAGTTGCCACATACATGGGAATGACTTGCATTTCACTATGTGAGATTTACTTCTGAATAGATCTGTATAAAATTGTTCTGCAACACATTAGTGGGCAACACATTAGCTGAGGACAGGATGGTAGTTTAGCACACTTGGTGTGCAGCTATATTAACAAATACTGTAGGAAATGCTTCTAGACTGGGACAGTTTGTTCACTTTATTTTCTGTTAACTATACAATATACAGTCAATGAGGCTCAGCTCCAAGTTTTTCTCTCCAATTCATACTTTTTTCCTTCTCCACTGTGTGGCTTCTCCATTTTTTAGAATCAAATGCATTTGCATCAGTTCAAGTGGTGTGATTGCTTGAGCCAGAATCTGGCTCTCCCAGCTTCTAAGTTTAAGGAGGGGAGACAGAAAGCACAGGAGCACTCATGGGATGTCCGTTCCCCTCGACTGAGCACCTCTTTGTCTCCAAATCAGTTCCCCCGAAAGGCTTGAGGCCAGCAGTAGTGTGCTAGAGCAGCTGGAGATCAAAGGGAAAAAAATAAGCAAGAAATCAGCAAAGAGGGGGAAATTGGCAGCTTGTAAAGGGAGCTCTGTGGAAGCTGTCCTCCTGTAAATCTGGATGGCTGCAGTAGAGCTACCTTAACATGGGGCTAAAAAGTGCACATTGTCAATTTCCTTTGCTCTCTCTGCTGACTCCAGGGTCATCTATTAAAGCAAATTCACCTGGCTTCCTGGGTACACCTTCACAGCAGATCATGTCTGATTTTTCCTGCTATGTAATTGTTGCTCAGTTAGTAATGATTCCCCCAAAAAATCAAGTTTACTTCTGAGCAAACATGTTTATAAATTAAATTTAGACCATGCCTTTTCTGTCTCCCTGCCACAAAAAAAAAGCCACTCAAAGTGGCTAACAGTAGTGAAGCTGAAATAAAACCAAAATCAACTAAAACATAAAAAACAGTTTTAAATCACAATTTTAAAATATCAGTAACAAATAAATAACAATGCCTAACTAATTAAAACTTCTCCAGCAAAAATGCTCCATGGGCCACATGTTGCCCACCATTTATATAAAGAAACTGATGTTCTTCCACAGTCCTGTTGTTGTTTAGTCGTTTAGTCGCGTCCAACTTCGTGACCCCATGGACCAGAGCACGCCAGGCCCTCCTGTCTTCCACTGTCTCCCAGAGTTTAGTCAAATTCATGTTGGTCGCTTCAATGACACTGTCCCACCATCTCGTCCTCTGTCATCCCCTTCTCCTCCTGCCTTCACACTTTCCCAACATCAGCATCTTTTCCAGGGAGAAAGTCCTAGTCACTCCTAGTCCTAGTCCAGCCCTAAATAAAATAAAAGAGAGGGATTCTAGGCAGCTACTAAGAACCTGACCACTGCCAAATGTGTCTCTGAGGATGGTAGGACTAAGAGAAGGGACTTCATCAACAATCTGAACAACTAGAGAGTAGGAAAATAAAACCCTGCAGATAGTATTGAGCCAAGCTAGTTTTATTGAGCTTTGTAGAGTAGATCATCATTAGTATTTTTAATTATGCTGTTGTACCAAAAGGGTGACATACTTTGTCTAATTCACCTCAGTCCACTGTTTGACTGAAGATACATGAATCATGTGAAATGTCCAAACATTTTTCAGAGGCAACCCTTGCATGGCATATTACAGCATTCCTAAAGGGATGTAATGAAGCCACATGTCACTGTAGTTGTATGTCACTAGGGCTATATCCAACATCTTTATGAATGAGCGCACAGTGTGAGCTTATCCTCAGCTGTGCATTAGAATGCTTGGCAAAACCTCGTGTACTGTTGAATCCAACAGTACAGCCAAATTAGCAAGCCTGAACCTTCATGAGCTGTATGACCCCATCCAGCATAGGCTGAGTCAGTATTTCCTGATCTGCCTTTTGGCTGACCAGGAGCATTTTTGCCTTGTCTGAATTAGGCTTCAATTTTTTTTCACTCTCATCCACTTCATTACCAGCATTAAACAATGATTTAAAATCAGAACAACTCCCTTGAATTTAAACCGAGTAGGAGGAATCAACTTGGGTGTCCTCAAGGTGTAACTAGGGTGAGATGACTGAAGCTTTGATCTAGGGCACCACCAATATTCAAACACTACAGGAATTTCTGCTGCAGGGACGTGAACCTACATATTGCTTTTCAAGTATAAGTACCCCTGTCAATGATGTATAATTTTTCTAGCCACTCATCTAGAGGTGGAAAAAATTATAAAACAGCCAGGCTTAGTGTGGAACCAATATGGCCACCAAGTGTTCAGACCTTGGCATTACTCCCCATTCCTCTGTCTCTGTCTTTTCCCTACATATAGCAGTCTCAAGTGACCTAAGCTTAACCAATAGGGTGGCAAAGCCTTGGATACCAGAATGGCTAAGTATAGCTCCAGGTGTCATCATTTGGATGTTATACTTGTGCTGCGCAATTTCAGCAGTCTTATCTTACTTGCAGTGCATTGAATGCACAGGGACCTTGTTACTTCTAATACTCACACAGAAGATTAGCTGGTCAACACAGCATTTCATTCTGAAAGCTTCCTTTCACTTTTCTTCTTAACTGCTCTGAAGAACAACAGCCTGACTAGTGTGTATGTGTGTTCAGGTCTGTTATGACAAAAGCAAAGGTTGATGATGTAAAGTGGCCCGGAGTCTTGTCTTACAGGCAAGGATCCTCTCTTTGAAGGACTGTCACCGCATCAGGATTCTGAAAGAGATACAACGGAAGTGGTTGCTCAATGGTTTCATGCATTTCATTTTTTGCCAGTTTCTACCCTCTTTGGGAATGTGGTTCTTCCGATGGTTTGTAATTATGCATTTATAGAAGTACAGGCAGTTGAAAACAAACTTGGGGTAGGGGAGAGATGAAAAACAGCGCATTAGCACAATGTTTTGAAAATAAGATGATGCTGTCTTGATAAAGTCATTTTAGTGGCTTCAGCCATGGAGTTCTCTGGCCACTCGGTAGACAGCACAATTATGAAGAAATTTGTTTGGTTGTCTGATATATACTCTAACATATTATATGGGAGGAAAGTTGTGAGAGGAATAGTTTAAAAGCACTGTGAAGACAGATAGGATTTGCAGCCTGCTCCTGTATCCATTTACTCAGAAAAAGTAAGTGGGCTTTGCTTCCAAGTTAAGTGCGCAAAGGGTTTCAGCCTTAATATACAAATGACTTGTCATCACAATCTAAACAGATCGACATTCCTGTGAGATGAAATGATGACAGGTTTCTTGTGGTTATTGTCAGTAAGGAGACCACTTCCTTAAGACTCACGTGTTCTGCATTTTTCTCAGCTGGTCTAGATATATAACAGCAGGCTAATCTATGTCTGGGGAGCAAAGAGTAAAAGAGAAGAGCTAAATGAGAAGGCATCTCAAGACAGAGCTGAAAGTGATGGCTTATGTCTGAACAAATATATTCTGAACTCCTTAACAGGTGGTCGGCCATTACTGAAAAGAGGCTGCAGACAACACTGGGCTTGTTATGTTCCCATGAAGACAGAGAAAGAACAAGGAATGGTAGAGATTGGCTTTCAAGCTCTTTCAGTTCTCAATCATCCCAGAGTGCAGGACATGCAACAATGGGCTTAAGTTAAAGGAAGCCAGATGTTGGCTGAATATCAGGAAAAACTTCCTAACTGTTAGAGCAGTACGACAGTGGAACCTTGGGAGTTGGCGAGTGCTCAAACACTGGAGGCATTCAAGAGAAACTTAGATAATCACCTGGCAGATATCCTTTGATTGTATTCCTGCATTGAGCAGGGGGTTGGACTTGATGGCCTTGTAGGGCCCTTCCAACTTCACTTTTCTATGATTCTATGATAACAGGCTATAACACTGAATTTGCTGAACCCTAGCAGCAGAGCAGACCTGTATGCTAACCTCTGCTAGGGAGGAAGGAGCTTGGCCAACCTCTTTCCTCTCAGTACCACAGCTCTGCTCTGCTCTTTGCCTGAGTTGACCTAACAGCTAATGTCTGGGGGCGGGGTGGGGACCAAGGCTGTTCCTCAAAAGGCCAAAGCAGCAGCCACAATAGAAATTTCAATGGATGTGTGTGTTTTACTTTTAAAAATGCTTTTTACCTTCAGTAGTGTTTTATCAGTTTGTTGTTTTAATAATATGTTTAATTTGTTTTTAATATTCTGATTTGCTGTAATTTTCTGTAGGTAGGTAGGTAGGTAGGTAGGGTGGGGACCAAGGCTGTTCCTCAAAAGGCCAAAGCAGCAGCCACAATAGAAATTTCAATGGATGTGTGTGTTTTACTTTTAAAAATGCTTTTTACCTTCAGTAGTGTTTTATCAGTTTGTTGTTTTAATAATATGTTTAATTTGTTTTTAATATTCTGATTTGCTGTAATTTTCTGTAGGTAGGTAGGTAGGTAGGTAGGCAGGCATTGGAAGATATTGCCACTTATTTTCCTAACACTTATTGGTACATTCACCTTTGGATTCCACTTCCTTCTAAGCATTGGTGCCCTTACCCCTACCCTATCTACAGTCCTGATTCCAGCCCAACTCTGCATGACATATACTAACAGAATAAATGTTAGCAAACAGTGGCCCTAACCAAGCATCACAGAATATAATGTTCCTCTTGCCCTTCATTTCCTTCCATCTTACCTAACCTTGGAACTTCAGTTGCTGCTGGTTTGGGGATGATTTTTTTAAAAAAAGAAATGTTTTCATTGCAAATATACTTTTTGTCTACTTTTATTATGATTTTAATGTTGTGAACAACCTTGGAATTGTTATATTAAACCCTGGGTTAAAAATAATACAGCACAGTCCTAAACAGATTGTAGAACCCATAGAATTCAGTGGAATCTACTGTAGAAGATTAAATAAAT